CCCCCCCCCCCCCCCCCGGCATGCAGTCAATGTATTGTTGTAATAAAATGACTAAAATTTAGATTGATTTTCCTATAACATTACAACTTTCTTTCTGCCCTCTGTTAGCTTTGGCAATGTGGAGGTCAGCTAGAGAACATCCCTTGTTCCAGAGTAGGCCATGTCTACCGTCACCATGTACCTTATACCTACCCTAAACACGATGCCACCCTTGTTAATTTCCGTCGCGTGGCCGAAGTTTGGATGGATGAATATAAAGAGTGGCTGTATGACCGAAGACCAGACCTCAAGAGTGTAGATCCTGGAGACATTAGTGACAGAATTGCTCTCAGGAATAGGTTAAAATGCAAGAGCTTTAGATGGTATTTGGAGAATGTTGCAAACGATACAGTGAAAACTGCGTATGAGCCTCTTAGGGCAAATGGTGCTGTAAGTACGAGATCTTCATTCCTACGGCTGATCTAAATGATTAATAAATTACTTCCTATTAGCCGTTCCGAGGTTGAGAAAAAAAACTGGGTCGTGTTCACATTACAGTGCATTGTAAGACTCTTTTAGAAGACATATTTTTATTCCATATTTCCAAATATTTTTCATATTTGCATTGTGGGTGTGTTTAAGAGGACAAAATGGACTCAAACTTGGAAATATGCCTTCCTAGAGGGTCCCACATTGCACTGTAGTGCAAACTCAGCCAGTTGTCTCCTCAACCTTGGAAAAGCTAATATGTTCCTGCATGCCAAGCCATGGCTGTGACGTTGTCGTTGTCCCAAACGTTTCCGTTTTAAACGAGACTTGTCGTGCACCATCTTTGTGTTCAAGTTGTAGAAGCAACGGGATTCTACACGCAGCATGAAAAGAAATTTAAGAAATCCTACTTTGCGCGACGAAGGAAGTTTGGCCTGCAGCGACAAGTTTTTCCCCCTTCAGTTTCTATTGCATCATTGTGACAACACCTCACCTCACCTAACCTCTTCACTCTCAGTTGCACATAATGCCTGTAGTGCAAAACGTTGCACGATGACTGTTGCCCATATTACAACCAGATAATCTCTGTTACTGACATGGCGCGCGACCTTTTGACAGTTTTATATGAAAGCAGTTCTAAAGTGATTTCATACATATGTGATTTTTTTACTTGACAGATACGTAACCCTGCTAGTAACCTTTGTATAGATAGTATGGGACGTAGGAGTGGCAATGTAGGATTGCAAGCATGTCATGGTCAGCAGGGAAACCAGGTACAGTCTTGTTCATGGTTTATACAAACAAAAGACAGTGAAAAACTGGACAAATATTAAAATGCAAAAAGGTGGTAAAAAGTGAAGAAGGAGAGTCAGTTTAATGATGTTCCTATTCGTAGGCTCAAAATAACCAAAATGCAGGTCATATCTTTTAAGATTAAGACAGCAACAGAAAATAGTAATCTTGGTTTGCCAAATGCGAAATTTCGTTCTCGAGGTTTATTTACATACGTGGATGTAATTATTGTCTAACACTTCCTCGGTATTAACTTAGTATTTTATTATTTATTTTTCAGGCATTCCAATATACTTACATTAAAGAATTTAGGTTCGACGAGACGTGTTTTGACGTCCATGACTACGTGTCTGGTGCTAAAGTAGATTTATTTCCATGTCACGAGATGAAGGGGAACCAAGAATTTGAATATACCAAGGTAAAATCTAAAATCACATCAAAACAAAAAAATTACACTGGTCGTACATACTGAATGCTGGTTGCTATGTGTTTCTATGGTGCGCCTGCGATCCTCGTACGGCCCTAAATTTTCTTAAGATACATGTGAAGTCAAAGCCGCCATGTTGGATAATTTGGGTCTTAGCTCCTTTTGTCGTCATCCAACTTGGCGACTATGTCTTTACATTTCATTCTCACTGTTCGTTTCAGGACAAGAAAATCCGTCATCTTACATCTGGGATGTGTCTATCAGCTGCCGGGCATAACGACTACCCGGTAATGGAAACGTGTTCCAGTTCCGCAGACCAGATCTGGGAGCTCACAATGTCGGATATGTCCGACATACCTCCTCTCTATAGAAAATTCATGAGTATGAAAAAACATTAGACATGGTAGAAACATGGTCATTAAAGGGACCGCTCCTTTTTTACGGGCGTGGGGGGCTAATGGGATTTAGGGGGGAGGGGGCGCGTAAAAAATATGGCATTTAAAGGAGTCTAGTCCAAAAATAATTAGCTAAGCAGAAAACTTTTATTTTTATCCTGTTTTAATGGTGTTTACGTAAAAAATTTAGGTTGGGGAGGAGTCATACATTTTTTACTTGCAATTCACAAAATCCCTCATGCCAGTAAATATGAACGGTTCTTTAAAAACTTTGTTTTCTGAATATTGAATACCGCATAGAGTAGAACTTCTATTACAAGTGGCCATCCCCGAGAATCGTCAAGTGGGCGCTGAATGGGTCGCGGTAAAAAGCTGAAACAGCTGAAAATTATAAAAATCCAAACATTTTAAATAGAGGTTTGCCGCTTAATGGAGATATAAATTAGACAATTGTTTTTGAAATAGCTGTGTGATGTTGGGGACCGCGGAGGGAGCATCATAGCAGGTGGTTGGGCTGAGTTGCAAGGCTTTCTCACTGGTCACTGCGATTAGCTACGTTCAATTATCGTATAATTTAAGACTGTAAAGGATTTAGACTAAAGCCGCACCTGTTCCTGTCTATACCCTTTGCGGTTCCTGTCCATATTAGTAGATACGCATTACCATGGCATTATAGGGTCGATGGAAATACAAAAGAAACAAACAGAGAGCCAGAGAAATGAGGCCGTGACAACATGAAAGATATTTGTCACCGTTTTGATAACATTTTATGCACATTTTTTTAGACCAACTAAATTTTAAAATCTTCTACTTTGCTCCAGGAATATTTTCCGACTCTATTTTTTAAATCTTATTATTTGACCTCAATTCAGAGCAGATAATTAGATTCAAAGACTTTTATCAGCTGTTTGAAAACCAGCAATCTAAACTTTCRCAAACCAGCAATCCATCTGATCTAGGAATGGCCTATCTCCTATGGTATTGCTTTTTGATAAAAGCACATTGCCATGTCGACAATGACCCTTCCCATCAAGCATCAGTGCTTGTTTTAGTAAATAAGTTATCTAATATAGGTGTTGTCAACTATTCAACAGTTTGACCTATAGAGGCTTTGCACGGCGCATACAGCTTGGACTGCCTGTGATTAGATGGCAGGGCCTGGACGGATAAGTTGATAAGTCTATTGGATCGACTCATCCACTGGATAAGAATTTATTCGTTGGATAGCACTATTCGCTTCATACAAACGCGCAAAGAACACTAATAAAATTCCTTTGTTCCTGCCATCTAACATGGCTGCCGTCACGTGATGGTGCAAAGCCTCTATAGTTCAATGTTGATCACTAACAAAATTAACATATTTTTATACTCACCTCGCTCTTAACTTGAAACTCCTGACYTGTTTTAAGCAGCCAAGTTTCCAGTTTGCGTTCCTCATTTATGTACTTTTGAAGCCAAGAAGGTATCTATTTATAAAGTAAAAAGAAAGAAAGAATAAATAGTTTGAGTCATTTGTATATTCTATATTGTGAACAAGCATGGAGACTGCCCAATAATCATCAAAACTATTGATGGTTTTCACAACGGCCATGTTGGAGGAACTTAACAAAAGAATTGTCAATGAATTCTTTTGTTATATCCTCCAACATGGCCGCCGTGTCTTTTGTTATTTAATTCTCTTGGGAATGGTTGAAAACCATCAATAGCAAACAAGTATTAAGGAATAAAGGGTTGTCATAAAGTAGATTCGTATGATTGGGAAACGTACCGTAATGACTTATAGAACCTACATGAAATGAACGACATGCTAAAACACTGAAATGGCTTCTCCATGTTCAAAGAATTCCAAAGAAACCCCTCCGCTTGCACACAGATTTTCTGTGCCAGGCTGTATACAGCAATAGACTCTTTACAAGTGAAGAGCTCAATTTGGAGGACAAAACAAAACAATGTCATCGGCGTAATGTTTTCTCCATTTCAGACCACGTGTCATTCTCTTGAAAATAGGACTATTCGCAGGGTTCATGCTCGCTTGAAATCCTTGAAAAGTCCTTGAATTGAAAACACGTTTTTAAGGGCGCTTGAAAAGCTCTTGAAAATAGTGAAAAACGCCAAAACTCCTGGAATACTCCTTGAATTTAATGCAAATTTAATGCTATTTCTAACTTTCCTTATGAAATAACGATTAAAATTGATTGAAGAGTTTTCGTATATTTCGTAAATAGCCTAGCTGAATATCTGGGTACTTCTGGTAAGAATGCGTAAATTAAAGATCTATTTATCTAAGCTAGTGGCCCCGGCTGAATTAGCCGCACTTTAACACTGAATCAATGTTTAAACCATTTTCTAATACAAAAAACTTTGTCCTTGAAAATCGAATTTTTGTGCTTGAGAAGTGCTTAAAAATTCCTTGAATTTCGTAACGAAAATGTAGCACGAACCCTGTATTCGTTTGAGTTGTATCCAAATTCATGGTCGTTTTTATAATGCATAACCATAAAACAAAGAAATGATTCCTTGGGGAATGACACATGCCCTGAAATGGGAAAACATTACAGTCAAGGTAGTGAGAGAGCTATTTCAACAAAAAAGATTCGAAAGATTCATTAGACCATGTGTCATCGTCTTGAGAATAGAATTATTCGTTTGAGTTGTATCCAAATTCATGGTCGTCCTTCTAATGCACAACCATAAAACAAAGAAATGATTCCTTGGCGAATGACACATGCCCTGAAATGGGAAAACATTACAGTCAAGGTAGTGAGAGAGCTATTTCAACAAAAAAGGTTCGCCAACCTAAGACTTTGCAGGATGTTGCTTACCGAGCTTGAAAAGTATTATATTCATATGTAAATGATGTCAGCACAAAAGTAAATATACCTTAAAAAAGTGCAGCACAAGTTTGAAAAATTCCGTGCAGCCTTACGCTGATGAATTCACGTCCCTCATAGTGTATTTAGGACCTTGGTATGTAACGAGCAACAAAACTTTCACCAACCATCATTTTTGAGCCAGCTTTGTCAAATCGAGTATACTGTAGGACTGTGAAACTGGATGGCAGTACAGTACAGTACATGGTCATGGTAACTGAAGTATTGACTTTTATTTGGCCAATCACAGCATGCACCAATAGAAATGCTCGAACGCGATAACGTCTATACTGTACGTTTTTCATTCACAGCATTCCATTCTAAATATGCTCTATAATAAAACTACTATTTCACCTAGCCGCATTTGAAGTTTTCTTATTCACTTTTTATTCGACACCAACGCAGTTCCAAACTGTAAGTCATTATCAGTTTTATGCATTTTAACAAATTCAACACGAATAAACTTAATGATTTGTATAAATCCTTTTCTAAGCATAAAGCCACCAAAACAAAGCTAATTAAGTCAGATACTGCAGTGGAATCCGCCACCTGCAACTTACTGGATTTATGATTCTGCTCACTGATTTGTAATAAATCCGAGGTCTAGAAAACACATCTGCTTTGACCTCCGATTAACAAATTTACGATGGTTGAGCGTGGTATGTCCTCTTATTTACCACGATATGACGTCAAAAGTTGGTCAAAATGTTATGGACTCACGAGGCGTAAGCCGAGTGGGTCCATAACTAATTTTGACCAACGTTTGGCGTCATATCGTGGTAAATAAGAGGACATACCACGCTCAACCATCGTAAATTTGTTTTTTACTACAAAACTCACAAAACTCTAGGAAATAGACTGCACGAAATCTTGCATGACGCCATTTGTTGGTATGGCCTCTTATTTACGACGTTTTTTAACCAATCAGCGCGCGAGAAAATTTACAATTGTGGTAAAAAACCTAATTCACATGAATGAAGTTTGAAAACTTTAATAAATCATGGTTTCTAGTCAACCAGAGCATTACCTACCCTATAGCCGGCTCTACCTTAATTGTAAGATACCTGGGCACTATATCAGACTCGGCTATTCTTGAATTATGAAGCCGGACACAGTGACGTAGCGAGAGTACCAGAGTTTGAGGGTCGAGTCCGGCCGGAGCACAGGCGTTTTGGAGGGAAAATTTCCGCCAAATATGCAAATCCCCAGGCCCACCGGCCCCCCTCGCCACGTCCTCAAAGGGATCTTATCCATGAAGGGTTGGTCGTAAAGAGCCCTAGTCCTCTTTGGGTAGCGAACCAAGGATCCAATATTCTTCTTCTCCGTGCTTCAGGAATTCTTCAGTAATTTAATCTCAAACGTTTGTGTTTGCGCAGTTTTAACCACTCTAGATCGAAGTGCGCAACAGAGCAAAGTCAAATAACAGTGTTTTTGTATTAGCAGGAAGCGATTCAAAAAATTTGTAGTTGAACTATTGTTTAGCCGTACTGAATTCAGTTCTTATCGTTGCCGTAAGTACGAGTTGTGATTGGATGAACTGCACGGAACACAGCATGCGTGTGAGAACTGCAGTTTTCGTATGAGTGAACCAATGTACTAAACTACGGCCCAAACACGGTACGGTAAACCATAACATCAAAATTGCTTTCCATTGTCTTCCAATAGTTTATCCAACCACAATAATGCGGTACGACTACAGTACGGTTTTCGTTCTCATAGAAAAATCGTTCTATCATTGGAGCAAAAAGTCGGTAACTTTTCATCTATTCTGCGGTAACCAAGCAACTAAATTAGGGGCATTGTTCAGTATGTTTAAAAAAATAATACTAAAAGATCTGAAGAAAAATATACTAGCAGAATGAATTCAAAACAGTAATTCCAAACTACATTTCCTCAGTTGCATGATTGACACAGATAGCAGGATCTGCAGCTCGAATCTCAGTAATTAATATCAAAAGTTATTGACTTCTCTAATTAGGCTTACTGTTTGCCCGATATCCTAATATCATTACAACTTTACAAAACAGCTTCGAAAAGTGTCAAATTGTTCGCTCGTCATTTCGCAGTCAAATTTGTTCTTACAGCTTCTTCTCATACCAGGAAAATCGGTAATATTTTAAAGCAAAATCCTATGAAAATAAACTCTACAGAAAAACTAATAAAGTAGTATGACGTAGATTTTTTTGCAGCAGTATTGAAATTTTAGTAACCAATATAGGTGCTATTATCATATCAAGTTGCTACAGCAACGCACTATAATCACTAACTTTTTCTAGATGTTTTCTAGATTTTCAGCAAAATTAAAGCTTTATACGAAGCCGAGCCCTAAAGTATAAAGATATTTGGGGTCAAAGAACGAGAAAGAGTTGCCCTTACGGTACTGGAAAGAGTTTTATTTTTCAAAAAGGCCGAATATGATTCAACATTGCCATGAATTGACGTAAATGAATTCCTTTTAAGTTTACTGATCAATTATTTATATTATCAAAATTAGCATATTGGGTAATTTCGTGGTAGGGTAGAAGGGGAAAAGCTGCGCTTGGCGACTAAAATATCAAGAATCTTAGCAAAATCTTTGTTGGTATTTTCAATGTAGGGAACTAGACCACAAAAGAAAATAAAGGAAACTTTATTTATTTACATCGACAAAAATGGGAATCTTGGTCCTTAAGGGAAGTTGTATTTCGTTTCTGGTAAGTATGGCTCGACTTGCCTGACAGCGATTCCTCGCAGCTAGAATACATTCTTATTCGTTTTGTTCGAATTTTTTTCTTTTCTAGCTGGCAATATTCATCCTCACTGCTCTGGGAGAGAACTACATTACACCAAAAGGTAGGTTATCCGGTTTTATCGAAATATATTGTAAAATCTTCGTTTTCGCACGATTGAATTTGACTTTCCATTTCAAGGTGCCAAATAGTACCCAACTGCAAAAAAATGACTTCACAAATCGAAGCATCTTACACCTTGGAAGAATTCTGTTTTCGATTCCAAACCACATCGGAAAAAAAAAAAAACCATTTCAAACGAAAATTGTAAATTCATATAAATATATTTTACTGTAAAGGTGTATTTTTTATTGTTTATATTACTTAAAACCTTTTATTTTAAACTCTCGCTATCTTTTTTGAAACCATGTATATGTCTGACCACAACAAGTCTGTCATCGAATGGTTACGTTAAACTCTTTTTGGCCGGTTTAATATTTGGTTTTAAGTCTTATTTGTATCAGTCATAAAATGTGGTGTTAATTCTGTCAGTATATTCTTCTCTCAAAACAAATCATGCAATAATGTTATGTCAATCAGCTTCTTTTAGTGATGCCGAAATAGGTAGTCTCCAACGGATATAACCACAAAACCCCTAACAGTAATTTTCAAAAACCTCGCGATCTGTTCATCCCAAGAAACCCCTTTAGGTAAGGCTGATTTTACAGTAAAAATAAACGTTAGATGTCAAGTTGATGATTTTGTTATTCGACATTCGGAGTTATTAGGATTAGATTTTAAGAAATTTTTAGGGACAAAACAGAAAAACGAAGCCTATTGGTCTGTTTGAGTAAATTCATTTCGAGCAAGAAATGAAAACACCGATCAACATCGGAATATTTTTCCACTCAATATTTTATAGTTGCTTCTGATGTCAACTCTCATGCATTGGAAAAAGTATCGATTTTCGATCAATATGAGAGCGGTTTTAAAAGTTCAAGGAAAACGAATTTTTGAGGTTGAAAATCGTGGGAGTTAGTTACAGAATTCAGTTCGAAAGTGCTCTAGCGATTTTCGCTGTTGGCTTTTGTAGTTTCTTGGGTTTTTAATAATGTGCAAATAACTTGGTCTTATTCAAAACACACCATTATCCCTAGGTGACAGGTGCAAGTAAACTGCTCTCTGATTGGCTGTACCTAAACAATAGCATAGAGCTTCAATGATAGGGCTTCAAAGCTGATGAAGACACACACGTCTGGAAACGTCTTTTTTTATTATAGACATATCTTATTTCCCGTGGGCATATGCCATATGAATTATATTTTCATGTATATTCTCTACATAAAGTGCTATAGAGTTCATCTTTAACTGGAAATTCATAATATATCTAACAATAGCATGATGACGTAATTTAGCAGGTGCATCAATAGTCGTGTTACAGCACGATCTTCTGAACTGTTATAAATAGGGAAAAAAATGTCTCTTATTTTATTTTCAATTTTTTTCAACAAAACTTCGATTCCTCTGAACTGAATTACTTTTTTTTACTAGAATTTTTAAAAAATGTTTTAAGAAAGTTTAAATAAAAACTGAAATATTTCTATAATTTCCGTATATTTTTCTATCTATTTATTTAATTTTTTTGTGAATTTTTTTGTGAAAAAAAGTTTCATCTTAACGCTCTGATAGAACTTCGAGTAAAAAAACATAATGACAAATGACCTGGCCACCATGTTGGAAACCAATTCTCTACATTCATCCAACATGGCGGCTATGAAAGCCACCGACATTTCCCGAATGAACTTGAATATTTGCTTTCTTTTCCAGTCTGCCCTGATAGAGCTCCTTTCAAGGATGACAGTGGTGAATTCACGAGTCCAGGCAGCCCCAAAGGATATTTGAATAATACTCGTTGCACTTGGGACTTTGAAGTCGCACCGTTAGCTAAAGTCCAGATCATCTTCAAAGACTTTGACGTTGAACCCAGTAAAGACTGCGCGTATTATGACTACATCAAGGTTACAGAAAACTGTGATGGCTCTTGGAAGGCAGTCACTTCCCCTGCTTATCCGACTAAACAAACATTTTGTGGTAACCTAACTGTATTCAACGTTACATCCAACTGTGGCCGAGTGAGGGTAGAGTTTAAGTCCGATGACTCCATGACTGGATGGGGTTTTAATGCGTCGTACAAGATCATCAGAGATAAACGTAAATACCTTAGATATATTGATAATATTGAATCAGTGTCCACCTTCTCTGCTCTTGTCTAAAAACTGATAGAAATACCTCAATTGGCATTGTTTCTTCAGTTTATATTGTCAGGCTTATAAGCCATACTATCAACAATACCCGATCCTATTTTTTATAATTCTGTGGAATGAAGAGCATCATGGTCCTTACTGCATGGGATGCTAGTCCATTGCCGGTTACTCTTCTCCCGAGTAATCCTGTCAGGTTAAATAACTTTAAACCCATAACGAATGAAAATTGGCCTCGAAACGTAACATAGGGTGAACCGAATCCGACCGTAATCGAAAAAAACAAATAGCATATATTCTTATTTGATACTTTTTTTTTTTTTTGCATTGAATATTGAAAATGTCCTTTCTTAAAATTCAGAGGCTCCGAAGATCACGTGTCTTGGTCGTGACTGCAACGATACCCAGTATGAAATCGCTGAAAATGATGTCCAAATCGACTGCCGAGCCGAAGGGTATCCTCCAGCACAGTTCTATTGGACCAAACATGGCGGGAGTTTGCCTTTTAACAAACGTATAGAGTTTAACGGTACTCTTCGCTTGCCCAAAATCAAAGAGAGCGATACTGGGACCTACGAATGTTACGCGAATAATTCCCAAGGATCTGCGAAGAAAACAGTTGTTCTTCATGTGTATGGTGAGTCAAAATATATTACGTATTGTTATGTTACGATCAGTCCGTGTGTATTCTCTAGAGAATAAGATTCTTGATTTGAGTTGCATTAATAATCTTTTGTTTCCTAATGCGTAGCTATCATAAACGAAGAAACGCGATACTGAATTTAGGAAGTGACGAGTGGGACCGAAATAGAGCTTATAAGTTAATAATACCTTTACCTTAGTGTCAATGCATTTAGTTTTTATGACTATTTGGGGATGCTAAAATGAAAAAAACGAGGGGGGAAAACCATAAAATATAATAAAAATTAAATTAAATTCATTAAATATAATAATCTATACCTATATCTATTCATATATCTGTTAATAAAATTAAACTATATTAACAATTTCTTGTATAAATATATCGATAATAAGATAAGTAATTGATTAATTAATCAACAAAATTAATTAATTAATTAACAATAAATAGCTGTCGACTCAGGAGCTGCACATTATTATCATTGTCTAAAAGCTTATCTAGGTCCATTTTTCTAATCTTAATTCTTAAAGAGTTGAATACTAACCGATGATCTTAGATTCATATTAAGCTTTGAAAGCTAAGCAGGCTTCTAGCCTTTAATCTTTCTATAAAATTTGTCTTCGAAACCTTGAAGCTAAACCATCACGCATCAAGTGAAAGACCTAACGAGCTCCATGAGTGCCATGACCAACGCCCTTGATTCGACAATGGATCGAATAACCCCCGAATAACTGAGAAGGAAATAAAATTTTTTTTTTTTAACAGAACGATGCACGTGTCCAAAGGTCATCAAGACAAACTGGTACAGCCTACCACCTTACATGAACGAGCAAAACATCGACAAGAGCATTTTCAAGCAACTGCTCGAAGAAATATTTTCCAAATGTTGTGGAAACTGTTCCAACGGCCACGGCCCTAGCACTATCGACTTTGGCAACGGCGCAATGAAAAATTCACTTGTTGAAGTCAAGGACAGCTTGGCTGCCCCAGATACTATATCTTTCCCAATTCCAGGGAAAAAAGACGACACGGAATACCAAAATTCCTTCAAATTCTTGTCCATCGTCAGCTCCCCTGGAATTGCTTTCATAGTAGTAAACGATGAACCAGGAACCTCTGCTCGTGCTGTTTTTAAATCTGTTCTTGGAGGCTGGCCTGTACTGCTTCTGACAATGATTATGGCATTACTTTCTGGCATGATTATGTGGGCTCTGGTGAGTACTTTGTTTGCTCTACTGTTATTACATTTTGCGCCTCGTCAATTTTTGCGCGATGATTTTCCAGCGCAACATCGTTGCGTTAAAGTTGACCTCGTGTAACATGGCGCGCGCGACAACACAAATCGATAGCAACAATGGTGTGGAGTTTTGAAGGTCGTTCGAACACTTGCAACGTGTTGCCGCAACAAAATATGGTTCAAAATTGTAACCACGCGCCATGTTAGACGATAACGTTTTTCGAGCAACATTATTGCAGAACAGGATAGACTTAGATTGTAGGAAGACGCGAGGGTACCTAACCGAAGTACTTCTTAACACTTCTCAATCGTTCTTTGAACAATAATAACCAAATGTAATTTAAGTTTCAAGTTACATGGACTCTTGTTATAGGACACATGGAATAACCCGGATGAATTCCCGCGCTCCTTCATCAAAGGTACTGGAGAAGGATTCTGGTGGGCTTTTGTTACCATGACAACAGTTGGGTAAGTACGAGAGTTAACAGAAAAGCATCACCATCACCATCACCATCACCACCACCATCCTCATCACCACCACCATCCCCACCACCATCACCACCACCACCATCACTATCGCCAYCACCATCACCATCACCACCACCATCACCATCACCACCACCACCACCACTACCACATTCGTCACCACCACCATCCCCACCACCACCACCACCACTACCACCACCACCCCCACCATCACCATCACCATCACCATCATCACCACCATCGCCATCATCATCATCATCATCATCACCATCACCACTACCACATTCGTCACCATCACCACCATCATCGAAGAGCACATTGACAATAATAGGCTGTCAAGCAATGACTATGATTATATGTACATGAACGATATAGATTCTATAATAATATTGTCCTTGTGGGGAGATTGGATTTCGTCGCCAGTGTCTGCTTTGCGACTCAAGTGGCTTAAGCTATTCATAAATTCCTCATGTTTATATTCTAGATACTTACAAATGCTTTTTTCATTTGCAGTTATGGTGATCGATCCCCAAGAGGCTACTTTGCTCGTATTTTTGCCATCATCTGGGTTCTTGTTGGAATTGTCATCACATCCATCTTTACTGGCGTCGTTACCACTTCACTAACAGCCATTACACTTTCAACAGAGACGTCGCTATACGGAACCACGGTAGGTTTTCCACCTCACTTTTTCATCCATCTACATGTATATTATATATCTTACATCTGAAAATCAACCTCCAAATGGAAAAATAAAAATAGGAAAATACAAAGGAAATGTGTTTGGTATTTTCCTGTTATTGTCGCACCCAAAATATTTTGCGGGTCAATTTTAATTTAGTCCTCGGTACAATAGAAGCACTTGACTCTTGCTTTCTTGACGTAAAATAAATTGCAGTTTTTCACATCTTACTTCAAACAGGCATAACTTCCCCGATTACATCACGAAGCCTTTAAAATGTTTAGCTTTTACACCGCGCCCTTCAACATTTCTTTCTGTGCATACATTGGAATCCAGGAATTCTTCGGAGGCAGTTAAGAAAAACCATGATATTCGGTCCCCTCAAACCGTATCAATGGGATAAGAAAAGAAGCCCAATTTCGAGCTTAAGAGTCTCAACAGGCACGTCACAACAACAACCCTTGTCTGAGTTTATCGCCAATCACCACCGCAAAGGTTTCTCTATAAATGAGTGAAGTTAAAGGCATTTTATGCATAAATTTCAGGTCATTGCGATCCAAAACTCCACAGAATACAAGTTTGGCCTAAATAAGAACGCTAAGGTCACAGGTAGGTTACAAACACCGATGCATCTACTTTGTGTTTAAATGTAACACTTGACAGCAACACAAATGATGTCTTGGATCACAATACTGAGACTATTGTATTTTGGGCACAATGTCCCCCATTATTTCAGATATTCTCTAGAGTACACATTTGAATGGTTGCGCATGACAAGATACATAAATATAGATACAACTAAAACAAAGAATCTTATTTTAGGGGAAATGACACGTGGTCCGAAATGGGGAATATTTCGCCCAAGCTTATGAACTTATTATTCATCCATATATCGTTTTAATGTCATTTCATTGCATTCATTGATCTATCCTGATTTGATTAATTTATAGCTATGTTAGCGCCTAGTTAAAGTAGTTTTCGGTTTTCATCCCAATAGACCTCTTCTGCTTGGGGTAATGATTTCCCATTTCAGACCACGTGTCATTCCCTTGAGAATAAGATTTTGTTTGAGCTGTATCCATATTCATGTCTCTCATGTAGAACCGAGCGCAAACCTTAAACAAAGAAATGATACTCTAGGGAATAACATGTGGTCTGAAATGGGAAAACATTACGTCAGAGCCGAAGAGGCCTATTCTCATTTATTCATCCAATCAATTATTTATCCATCCTTCAATCCCATTCATTTTTCTTTATTCATTCTCTCTATTCGTTTTCCCTCATTTTCTTTCACAATTTACACCGATTGCATATCATTCAGCAAAAATAGTAATGAAATTTTCAAATCCCATTTCACAGGTGCCATCAACTTAGAAGAAGTCGCAAACCGGCTCAAAAAACGAGAATTCAAGGGCGCTCTCGTCGATACCTACGTAGCAGGGGAAGTCAAAGACTTCGATGATCCCTCTCTGCGCGTCAGTAAGATCATTGATTATGATTCTCACTATGGCATCGTGTTCGGTGATGAGTCTGGTGCACCATTGGCAAAGAGTAAATTCCAGACTTGCATGGCTGATTACGTCTCAGAAACAAAGGCTGACATATTCAAGAGAGTTGAGTCCTTAACGAAGCCATTAGAGGTACGTCATACACCTCATTCTTAGCTTTTCATTCAGTTGGGTTTCCTTTACGAAAAGATGTTCTTATAAACCGACACAAGCCAACTGCTTGGGATGCCTGTGGTACACCTTCGTGATCGGTGCCAACTGTAAAGCTATCTTTTACTAGTCGAATAACTAACCTATATTATTTATTATGGTTCGCGTATAAAGTATTAAAGTCAGGTGTTTTTATAACCGATTCAATGCATGTTTTAATTTATTGCTAGTTAACTTACCTCTTACTGTGAGTACTCGAGCCGGTCGTATGGCGAATTCAAGTAAGACACCTATCAAACATCTGAATATCAAGCGTTAACTTGCAATTTATCTTCAAATTTTGGTACTGGATGGGAAGACTTGTTTTCCATATCAAAGACCATTCCTGCTCCTTTAATAAATGTTTTCTTCCTTTCCAAGATTATTAAGACCATTTTGGCCTTCGTATCATGACACTAAGGTCGTAGGTCGTTGTGCCTCAGTAACCTCTCGTCAGAACGTAAGGGTTTTGCCACAGGTAGCCCGAGCTCTGCATTGTTGAATAACAAGTTAGTATAAAGATCAAAGCTTGGGATGCCTGAATAAAGTAAATAATGTCTTTGTATTGCAAACAAGTAATTGCGCCTTTACGCCAACAGAAACCAAAAGACAGCGAGGCAGTTGAGAAGTCATCTGGACTGTTCGATGCAGACTCAGAGCTATTCAAATCCTCTGTCTACACTTGCCTTGGTATGCTGCTGTTCCTTGCGGCGTGTGGAATCATTTGGGATTATGGCTACATGAGACACTGGAGAGGCCATTCAGAACTAGGTGAGTAATATACGTAGGGTACATAAGTAGGGTTCCTGCCTCGTTTCATGATATATAATGTCCCTAAATATTAAATTTTATCGAACCCGGAAACCCATTCGTTTATCTCAGTCAGAGTTTGGTTAGCCTAAGACACGTGCATTATGGCTTCATTAACTACAGCTACCAGAATCCCTTGCACAGTTTCTTTTGTTGAGTTAATTAGCACCAACGGTTGTCCTAGAGCGCAAACCATAAATCCGTTAAATAGCACAAAACACATCTATTTCTTTTTGTTTTCAATTGTTTCATTGGTGCTAGAGTGGTTTTCCGAAACCCATGAAATATTACACTCTAATTCTTTTGTTTTCTATTGTGTTTATCCGACTATTAACCCTAATTAGTACACTTTGTTTCATGGGGTTATGAAAATTTTGCACTCTGCTAGATTCTCAAGAGGCAATGAAAATTTGAATAAGAAAAATGACGCCATCATGCAAATTTCTAATTCAACCTTCTGCGCAGCACGATCATTTATGTAAATAAACTTGGCCTCGTCTACTCAATTATACAATCTGCTTTTGTACCGTGACGTTAGCTTGAGTATTGTGATGTTGGACTTGCAACAAGTGTCGTTACTCTTAAGTATTTCTACACTGTGAGGGACCTATTGATGGTTTTCACGGCGGCCATGTTGGAGGAACTTAACAAAAGAATTGTCAATGAATT